ATATATTTTTAAATTCAGGTTTCCATGAATATTTCAAAAATTGAATGTATCTTATATAGGTTATTATTGTTTCCAATTGAAAAAATTGCCGCGGACGTCTTAACTTAAACGTGGATCACCCTGTATATATAAGATTCTCACTTTCAAATGTGGCAAATCCGAAATAAAATCGACCTGTTGCAGAGGCTTTCTGAGAAATGGATAGTTTAGCTGAAAATAAGTTTATTCAGCTTACATCTCGCCGACGCTCGCTACATAATTTTAGGTACAAATACGATTAGCTAACGATATTGTCATATAGAGATTCATAGGTAGTAGCGATAGCGATTCAACAGGACTGCCCGAGAAGACCATCAACCAAGTTACCACAACGTATAGTTACAAAATGAATGTCATCAAAGGTTTGTATTATCATGTACGAATAATACCGTATATATTTAAACCTCCTAATTTTTTTTTATTTCGTCCTTTATTGGTCATTCTGCGACGTCATTATGACGTCTAAGTATGACGTCATATGGCTGTGACATTTTGACGTCATTATAGGGTCTCTCAGACGTCATTTTTGGACGTCCACTTCGTCATTTTATGACCAAAAAATGACGTCAATTGGACGTCACTCTGCTACCTGGGAAGTTCCGAAACCTTAAGAGTAGTTTTGAGGAGTGACAGTTTCGAAATCGTTACTTCGTAATAAGCCATGAGAATTTCTCACTTTGAAGTTATTATCTAGTGTAAAAACTACGTAATTTTCACTCACTAAATAACTATCACTGACATTTATACTATGAAGTTCTGAAATAAGTGATAAATACGTTATTATCACTAAATATAGGTAATAGTTTCTTGAACCATGGTGCCTGTGACTGAAAATGCTAGTTGGGACCATGACAATTTTATGGTGTCCCAACTTTTAGAATTTATTTTATTTTGCTATTTCTCGCTGCCCCCTTCGGACTGCTTGCGAGTTGACAAGACCTGATTAGTAATATACATTATAGTCTAAAAACCTACATCACTGCGTCTCTACTTTTGATATTCATTTTATTATTTCTCGCTACCCCCCTCCCTACGGATATGGACTACGAGAAAATGGGACATGAAGAGTTATATCTAACAGTGGGATTTCAGATCGTAAAAAAAACGGTAATTTTAAAAAAGTCGACGCCACTGGCCGTTCGGCAAACTTCGGCAAATTTGCTGTTATGTTCTGGCTGTTGTTTTCACGCCGGTGATTTCAGGAGCATATTTTCCAAATCAAGATATAATACTTTTTTTCTATAAACATGAGTCACAAAAGCTTCCTTTCCGATCTACAGATTTATTTCTTTATAGCTCTAAATGTTAAGTGATAGTTATAATCTACAGGGAGATATTTTTTGAGGGGTCAAGCACTTTTTCGCTCCAAAAACTTTTTTTTGATGAGCCACAGGTAGATTTTGAAATAAGAAATGAGTTTTTTGTTTCGTTTATAAACTTTTTGTCTTGTGAATTTTCTACAACCGTTATGGAGAAACTTGTTTTCTCAATTTGCTAGATTGAATTGATATTTGTAAAAGAGAGGAACCTCTATTATCACAATGAAAACAAAAAACGCTACATATTTACTTTGTGATCTGAATCAAGTTTTCAAAAATTACCTAAAGAAGAAATCTAACAAACCATATAAATTTTTATAGATGGTGCTGCAAAATGAAAAAATCTTGAAATTTTAGTGCTCTGTAGATGTAACAAAGCGTTTGCAGACTTATTTATTGGAAAAAAATAAGTCTTATTTTGACCTGAAAAATAAGTTCCTGAAATCTATATACTGAATTTTGAAACATTCTGTATATGGAGTCCTTCTGGACCAGTTAGTTTGCTTCATGCTTTCAAAGTAAACAATTATCACTCCTCGTTTCTATAGGATAAAAATATGAGTATTATTTCAATATACCTGTAGTAGGATGATAACCAGATGATTTGCCCCAAAATGCCACTGTGATTGAAAACATTTCTATATCAGGGATCCTGAAGGAAAGATCCAATCGTTTGTCAGGGTGTCCCACTTAAATGTGTCACCCACTTTTATTCTCGTAATTCTCAACATATTTTGATCATTCAAAACTTTTCTGTAATAATTTTTCACGAATTTCTCGAATCTGTGCTAATTTTTTCTATGTATCAACAAAATACAGGGTGACTAAGAAAAAAAGTTTTTTTTCACATGAAATGATTTGAATTTCATTCGATAATATATATTTTGGAATTCATATTGACGAGCTTCGCCGAACTATGGGGAATAATATAGACCATTTCATTCGAAAAAGAAAATGTTTTTCGGACCACCCGGTATTTAGTTGATATATAGGAAAAGCGAGCAGACTAAAAAAATCTTGAATGATCAAAATATGTTGAGAATCACGAGGATAAAGTGGGGTGACACATTAAAGTGGGACACCCTGTACTTATATTGAAAAAATATCGAATTTTACTTATCTTTGGACAATTCGGTGACGAATCTGCTCACGTTTTCAACATAAAAATGCAGTAGCATTTCTCGGCAAATCATCTGATTTGTCCTACTACATGTATAATGGAATAATACATATATGTTTTAATCTTATATAAACTAGGAGAAAATCCCAAATAATTAAGCAGAATTAATGTACCACCTCCTCATCAACCTACAGACAGTATTTTACAAGAATTGTGATTAACTATGTAGACATATCATTTGAACTGATCAAGTTTAATTAATTTCTTTCGATTAAGAAACTAGCTCGATAAAGCTAGCAGAACCATTTCGAATTTTTGGATTATTTCTTCAGCCATAATTCAATGCTCCAATCAGCTCCAATCCTAAATTCATGGGATTTGCTAGAGCTCATAATCATTCAACTGGCAGAACCAAATCTTTTGAAAAGAGGGAATAGAAGGATATTATATACCACAATTTGAGGCTATTTGGCCCTGTTGAATCTTAGATTGATTTCTTTGTTACTCATTTTCTGCAGAAATTTTCAATAATTCATCATGAACATGACAAACCACTGGCGAATCGATAAAAAGTTGAATCATGTAACTGATTATACCTTAATTTGAGGCTCCAATCCTAGCCTACTCTGATTTTTTCGCACATTGATCTTTTTTTGAATGATGGATTTTGCTACATCCCATTCATACCTAGCAGAACGCAGAACCAAATCTCAAACTGAGGGAATTCGAGGATATTGATTGTACCATAATCTAAGGAAATTTTAAATACATCGTGGATGTGCCTATCATCGATTTTTTGTTAACCTTTTTTTGTGAAAATTTCCACAAGACAGCAAAAATGAACATGACAATAACCAATAGAAAATCAAAAAAAGTTTCATCACACAACTGATAATACAAAAATTTTAAATTCAAGGCTAGTTTGAGGCTCAAATATCTCCTAGCCTCTATCACATCATTTTTTGGCAAATTGTTTTTATCCAAAAAAGCATTTCTCATTTTCTCAAGAATCGGCAATATGCTAGGATTGGAGTCTCAAATTAGCCTCAAATCATGGTATTAGTTTTTTGATTATTCAATACTTTTAAACTTTTATTACGAAGCGGTTCTGCTGGCTTTCCTGAAAATGATCAGATAATACATTGATGTGACAATTAGACATGAAATTCTGAGAGAGAACAATGATGGAAATAAGTAGATAGTGTACTCACTGATGCGCTTTTGTTTCAGAAATTCTTCTCGCCCCGAGAACATTGTTTTTAGCGGTTTGCGGATAGATGGCGGCATTGCACAATCATAACATCTGTTAACTTTTAAATTGCCGCAGATTTTTCGAATGCAGAGTTAAATAAGCCCACTGTTACATAATGTGTTCTGCGTACGTAAATTTTAATTGCCATTTTTTTTTCACTCGTCACAAGAGCAATAGCAGCATCACCATCTAGTGGAAAAATGTAGAATCAACGTCTCGTTCGATGTGAGGTAGAAAAATCATAGTAGGCGGTCGAGTGATTTTTCTTAAGTTTTCAATACGTAAAAATGACCGAATACGCGCACCATCTACTTATTTCCATCATTGAGAGTACCTACCTCAATATTAATAGGCCCCACTTTGCTCATAGGGGCCCACTTGGCAGCAGCGCCTTCCCACAATATCGCCAAGTAGGCAGACTAGGTAGGTACCAACTGAATTAAGATACCTAGTTCAGTGTTAGATTATTAAGAAGACATGAATTGATTACAAGAGAATACATAAGAATTCCTTTGGGACATATTCCATATCATGCACAGAGAGAACGCGAACGTTTTATCTACAAGCTCTAAAAAATACTGACAAAACTTGAATATCCGCAGAACACACAAAACTGATAAAACTGATACCTACTTGGAAAACACTGAACCACACTCTGGCACAATTAAAATAATCATATTATCAACTGTGCTTTGGTATGGAAATTATGTAAATGTTAAAATAATAAAAATATTGACATGTTGATATTTCATTCGGAGATCCGCTGAGCTGAGGCTGACGAATTTCATGATCACAGATCATAAGTAATTTCGTGTTGTCAACGGAATGGCGCCATCTCTCAATGAAAGTTGAGAAGTATTCTTCTCGTTCTAAATCGTCGTACACATTTGTTACAAAAACAATTGAAGAGTCGCTTCACCAGTCAACTTATAAACATCTCAACCACAACTTTGAATTTCACGTACTCAAATTCTCATAATAGTAATACCTAAAATACAAGCACGAATTATATTCCAGATGCAATTTGCATCAATTCACTTCCAGAAAGTTGTGAATTGTTAACCTTGGCTTGCTTAACTTTTAAACAAGTTAAAAGTTAAACTTGAAAGTTTGGTTAGGTTATTTCTTTGTACCAGTATTTCACCTGATGAAGCTACTTTGTTAGGGAAGCATGTCGTATGATCAAGAATTTAGTGGAAATCGTATCTTTTGTTTTTACATTTGCCACGGATTTCCATCAAGTAACGGCCGAGTCAATTAAAAAAAAAAGGATAAATTAATATTTTATTAATTATAATACTACTTATCACATTAAGAATAACCCAGTCAGAATGTGTATAATTATTAACATTTCATCTGGACCTGAAGAGAAGGTGAGTACAATTAGAACATGAGCATTACAATCTTGAAATCAGGAAAATTGATAACATCATTCACAATAGTCAGGAATTATTGCTCTACAACTCCCTTGAGTAATCTCATTACATCAGTTGAATAATATCTTTACTAGTGAAAACATAACCAATTATATATTAGAGTATTAAGAGTGTATATTTCAGATATTTCACACAAAGAGGATAGCACTCACTTGATTTACTCAAGGCACTAGAGTATTTGTGTTTCTCTAGAGAATAAAGAAATTATGTTATTAACCAAAGATGTGTATGATCTTTGTAATAACTAACCGAATGAAGTAAGTGTGCTGCTCGTAGTTTTGACTCACATTTTTGTCAATTATAATTTCTGTTAACAATCTGTTGGAGCTTCAGTGGGCAAGGGAGGAGTAAAGAGTATGTGAGACCTAGATTTCACAAAATATACCAATATAAAAGAAAATATCACAGATATGCAACCGATAGCAATAGACATTTTTTCGTGAGCAGCAGACGGTTTCAGAAACATTCTCACGTTGATTTCTGACCAAGTTGATTCGGACCAGGTACTGAATTCCCCAGAAGTCCAGTTATAATCTGAAATTTAAAAAATATGAAGAAAAAAATGTTTATGTTTTTTTTTTAATATATACAGAAAATGTCCCAAAAGATTAACAAATCTTTCCCTGGTAAAAATGGGTATCAAGATATTTTTATTCATTTATTAGTCCCAAAAGTGGTGGGCCTGTGTTTACTTTTCATATTTGAATCCGATGCAAAATTCAATTGCAATGTTGCTGGCAACCTGCGATGTTACTGGAAGTCTTGACAAAACCATAAAGTTATAGGTACCTACTTGGTTTGCCTACTAGTTAATCGTAGGAAATGATGATTCAAACAGATTTCTTCCCTCCAAACTATGTATAATGCGAGAGTAAACGAAAGAAAGAGTTCATAGTTCTCGTTTTTCGTAATTCTCGAATATTTTAGATAACTGTCAAGATACTGCGTTATATATATATCAGTGCAAAGGTAGGCGTTGCTGACTAGTTAGGTATCGACTAGTAAATAGTGAGGTTTTGCAGTAAGTAAAAGCAAGAAGGATAATCTTCAAAGAGTTCTCTTTTACTTGCTGCAAAACCTCGCTATTTACTAGTCAATATATATATATCTATAGATACCTGCTTTACCAACGGATTCAATGAAGGGAATGATTGTTCATAGATGTGTTTTCATCGAATCTCTGTATAATGCGAGAGTAAATAAGAAAAACAGTTCACAGTTCTCGAATATTTTGGATAACCGTTGAGATACTGCACTGAATAGTGTCAAAATTTATAAATTCACAATGGGCTATATCTCACAAACGAAAGATGATATCAAAAAACGATTGATAGTATTTTATGCAATGATCATGTAATGCTAGCTATTAATACAGGAGCACGAGGTAACTTCCCCTTCGGCTCGTATCGTGAACCTTGTGAGAGGGTATTAATAGCCATTACGCATGATCGCTGCATACACCATTTTTTCTACGAACAGTAAATAATAAAAATGAAAATTCACTTTTCACTTTTTATATTTCAACATATTCCAACATCTTCCGTCCATGAATTGCCTGTAGATTTGACGCGTTGTGATTTAATATGTATTCAACTAGCGTCTAGAGACAGGAGGAAAAAATAGTCATCGTGGTGAGGGAAACACGTCAAGCGCGGGCACAGATCACGGGACTTGACAAATAAATGTTAATATTGTATTTTATAATTGAAGGCTCATCAATGGCGACCACAAAACACGAGATTCAAAAGATGAGACTACAGAGATGGTACTATAAAAGCGCGCCAGATATCACCGATTCGAATGGGAAACGCGAGTGTCGTTGGTTGTTGGTTGCAGAATCTTCAATAGGGAAATAATAACCTATGCATATGCAACCATCAATACGGAACGACTTTGTAGGTTGCAAATTGTCTTCAAATAACCCAAATTACAGTAATTACACTGATTGAAAAATGCAAATGCATATAAATGGTCATGAAATAGTTATTAGACAAAAAAGTAAATAACATACTCTGTTTATTAAATGAACTTTAGGAACAACAAATCCAATCCAGCAGAATTGATTGTTTCCAGGTTTCAGCACACAACTGAAAAAGTTTAAATAACAAACCCCTACTTGTGATACATCATTGATAAGGTGTAGCGAAACATCGTAGTATATTTTAGAAATCTACCGTACCTATTTTCCTCCGAGTTTGAACAGTGTGGGTTTCTGTCATCGTAGCGCGGATGTTTCCTCCTAGAGGACGTTAGCGGTCATTATTTTTGAGCCCACCAGTTGCGGATCTCGTGGAGTCCGATTCGAGGAAGAGGTTTTTTTTAGAATTGTTTGTTGTTGGACTATTGAGTGTTTGATTACCGTGTACTTAAAATTCAAAGTGAGCCCTCTGGTTTAATAATAATATCTTCACGGCTATATTATTAGTGCCTGATCATTTAGGTAGGTAGTTTTAGCTCTCACGACACAATTTATATAGCAATTTTTGATTAGGCTTAGGCTGAGGATAAACATATATATGCCCGAAAAATGTACCAAATGATTTGATCGTTTGATCATATGAAAATGTCGTGGAGATTATTTCGAATATTATTTAGTAGACACTAGTGTATAATTTTCGGAAGAGAACCAGCATGAACTATGATATACTGAATAGAGGACTATCCCAGGAAATGGAAGGAGCTGCTAGTAGTGCTGGTTATGTAAGAACAGATGGTCTGAGCGAAAGTAGGAATGTTCAGTTTTCTTGAAGTGGGGCAGCGCCCACCACGAGTGTAAATGATGCAACTGTTAGGTTTTGGAACGAAAAATATTAAAGTTTCATTTTTGAATGTGGTCTTGCGCGAAAATGGAGGTAAAAACAGTGAACCCAAGGCAGATCGCAAAAAGTCTTCAGCGACAAATTTGTGCCTCGATTCACCGATATTCAGTATTGGCTTGACCGCCGGACTTGAAATTTTCGTTCGTTCGATACGAATTTCACTACTTCGCTTTTTCCGCTATTTCCGCTTATAAATTATTATTTCGCTAATTCAATATAATGCAACAGTGATCTTCGCATGAGCAATACATTGCTGCTTTTGCTACGTTATAAGAACAGGTGCTACACTTTGAAGAATACCGGCATCCAGGGAGCTCCCGAGAAGTGACAAATCCAGCTTTCTTGGATTTCTCTAAAGAAGATACCACTGATCGTCTATGGTAAGCTGTTTTGACTCCTCGCTATATCATACCACAATTTAAAAGTTAGTTTTGCGCCTTTGATTAGAAACAATTCATTTTTCTTGTACCACATTTGAGCTATTGAATGCCTTTGTGGCGCACATTTGGTCCTTCGAGCCGGATATCAATCAAATGTTCCGGAATTTTCATAATTTTCATATTTCCAAAATTTCAAAATAGCTTCAAAAGTATCAACTTTTATCATTAATATTTCTCTACATATTTAATTGTCGACTTGAATCCTCTATAATAATTGTATTTTTCAAAATTTAGTTGACTACTGAAAATTATAATTTTCGTCGATAATTATTTATTTTCTCTAAGTACGCACATCCATAAAATATATATACGTTCGCTATATGCGCTGTTCTTCGCTAGCCATTCAACGTGTTTTTTGCTTTATTGCCACAAAAAGTCTGGGGTCTCCGGTCGCGTTTTTCTATCCTCTGTTTATTCGTGTTTTTGCGCTTGGCCGTTGAACTCAAAATAATCATTGGAATTCCGTCAGCTGTTTGACTTCACCTATATTTTAATACGCTCTTCGAAAATTTATAAACAGAATGGCAGATAAAATGAAAAGATATGTATTGCTTAGAAATAATTGTGTGTCGGATATTCATACTTTATATTCAATTGGCCAACGAGCTGAACACGAAAAAACCTATATTGCAATGTTTCGAGTTCGATACGAGGAAATCGAACAAATTCGCGATAACTTTGAAAAACAAACTTCGAATATTCTTGCTATTCTATTACAAAATGAAGCACCTGATCTAGGCACCGAAGACACCATACGAGAAGCTTTCATGAACGATTATTGGGCAGTACGCGCCTTACATTTGAAACTGTGCGAAGCACCCCGCGCTGATTCTATACAAAACGTTTCTTGGAACCAAAACCATTCGCATATACGCTTACCTAAGATTGATTTGATAAAGTTCAACGGTGACTACAAGTTATTTAACACGTATTTAGATCACTTCAACGCATTAGTACATACAAACGAGTCCCTTAGTTTGATAGAGAAATTCAATTATCTGATGTCCTCACTGGAGGGTCCTCCTCTGTCGCTTGTTCGAACCTTACCTCTGACTTCAGACAATTATGAAATTGCTTACGATTCTTTAGTAAAACGTTATTTGAACAAACGACTACGAGCTACTGCATACTGGAGTGAGATAGAGAATTCAACAAAGTTGACTTCAGAAAATCCTCATGCCGTTCGAAAATTAATTGACACATTTTCTGAAAATTTGGCAGCTCTCAAAAATTTAGGTTTTCCCATTGAGCATTGGAACTTAATTTTAGTACATATGCTGTTGAAAAGATCAGATACCTCAACAGTGACACGGTTCGAGTTAGAGCATGGTTCTTCTGAAGTCCCTGACTTCGAGATGTTACTAAATTTTTTGGATAAACATTGTATTGCTTTGGATAATTTAACATTTTCGCCGCCAGAAATTCATACAAAAAAATCGTTGAATCAGAAATCGAAACCGGTTTATGGTAGAACCACTACATGTTTTGCTAAACCGAATACAAAACCCAATACTCTATCTTGCAAAATGTGTAATGACAATCATGTACTCTATTATTGTCAACGATTTTTAACTAAATCTCCCGCTGAACGCAATGATTTTTGTAAAAGCAAACATTTGTGTTTTAATTGTTTGAGCAGTTTGCATGATATAAAATCTTGCAAATCCCTCTCTTCGTGCCGCTATTGTGGAAAGAGACATCACAGTAGTCTTCACATTCATCAATATACTGATTCTCGAAATACAAGCGCCCCTTCTACATCAAATGCACCCCCCTTTTTAGGGCCTCCAACCACCTCAACTGTACCGCAATCCGACACAAATGTCACTATTAGTGGAGCGGGCCTTCTTTCAAAAACGCATAGTGTTTTATTGGGAACTTTGGTACTAGAAGTACTTGACCATTTTGGAAATTATCATAAACTCAAGTGCCTTCTCGATAGTGGGTCGATGACCTCGTTCATAACAAAGGCAAGCGTTCACAAATTAGGGCTACGCAAAAATAAATTTTCACTTGACATCCATGGCCTTGACGATATGAAGACTACAGTCAATCATGGCCGTGTTTCTTTACAAATTCGTCCTGTGAACGAAATGTCGCCTATATTTTTTGTCGATGCCGTTATCTTACCCAAAATCTGTGATAACTTGCCTATATCTATGTTTGATACTACTGATTGGCCGCATATTGCAGAATTGAAATTAGCTGATCCCTATTTCAATACCCCCGCTTCTATAGATATGTTGTTGGGAGCCGATATCTTTCCTCAAATTGT